TTTTTAAGTTTTGAAGGTCGACAGATAAGATTATTTATCTGCACCTCGATATTATAATTGAAGCGCAATTGATTTACGATCGCGTATATTTAATACGATTGTTTTTTTAAAGAAGTAATCAATTATATCTATTAAGTGAAGATAAAGTGTTGTAGCGTTAGTACAACTACAGTGCACGTAGCACATAGATGTTAAGATAATGTCAAGTGTTATTAATGCATGTTTTAATGCAAAGAAAATTCTGTCAATTTTACCGATATTTTATCCGCATAGCACATACGTATATAACTTCCAATTATTTCAATTGATTACATCACACGCAAAACGAGTTACTCTTTGGCTCAATCAAAGAGATCACGTGAATGTTCGAATCGGCCCATTTTATAGCGTTTTTCACTGGCAGAACTAGTTCGCACTCAGTGCACATTAAAGCTATTGTATTGCTAATTTAATCTGAATGTAAAAGTGAGATATCTCAATTAATAAAATACCCAATGTATATTCTATCAAATAGCACAATAAAATGTATTGAGGATTTCTCTGTTTAATTCGTCTCTATATTTTTATTAAATGTACATCTTTACGTCGATTTGTGTACAATGGCTTTAAAGTGCACTGAGTGCGTACCAGCTCTGCCAGTGAAAAGCGCTATTAGTAAATTTTTTCTGATAGAAGATCTGAATAGATACAGATAATTTTCAATTTCAAAATATAATTCTAATCACTTAAACGGCATTCTACAAATGATGTAGATTGTAATTTAAAATTGTAACTTTTATTTCATTTAACTTTAATAGGAAACAGATCGGGTGGAGAACAAACGTAAAATCCAATGAATTTGATGTCCTGATATTTACTCAGCGATGGCCATTGACAGTTTGTTTCGAATGGGAAAACAGATCGCGGTTAAACAGCACGCACAGTTGCGTGTTACCAAAACGTACCGAGTGGACCATTCATGGAATTTGGCCTACAAAATATAATGAAATGGGTCCGCAGTTTTGTAACAGGTCGTTATCATTTGATTCAAAAGCTCTAGCACCCATAGAAGGAGCATTAAAAGAAAACTGGATCGATATACATAATGAGTCTAAACCTTATTCGTTCTGGAAACACGAATGGGATAAACACGGCACTTGTGCAATCTCAGTACGAGATTTAAACAATGAACTTAAATATTTCCAAACAGGTTTAAAATTACTCGACAAGTACAATATGATAGACGTACTAGCGAAAGCAAATATCTTGCCAGGTAACAAATATACGGTACAAAATTACTTAACGGGAATTCAAAGAATATTAAATAAACGGGGACAAGTAATGTGTGTGGTTGACAAGGTAAGTTCAAAAATTGTTTCAATACGGATAAACGTCGTTTTGAATAGTTTTTCTCGGATATGAAAGAAAACTATCAATATAAAAAAAAAACATAAGTTTTACTACAAACGTATACTTTACTTTCTTCCAGAAAACGAAAAATTCATATGTGAACGAGATAAGAATTTGTTTTGACAAGACATTACAACTGGTAGACTGTAATGGCATATATAATTTTCCTACCAATTGTAATAGAGCCCAACAAATAATATATCCTAATATCGTACCACGTCACCACATATATAATGTAAAACTGATATAACGGTAAAATTAAAGGCATAATATTTATATGCATGTGTGTGCAAGCTAGATAAAATTATATAAATATGTTAATATCATATCACATATACGACATACAGATCAATTTCAAAATAATTTATCGTGACAAGAAATTATAACAACAAATATTTACGAGTTAAACAATGTAATTTTTAGCATTCTTAATCAGTATTTAAAAAATATTAAAAGTATTAATATTTAAGTAATATTAAAAATCTATTTCAGATTAAAATGTCGTCTATAAAATAATTAAAATAATTACTAGATTAAATAATACTTGTATGTACGATTCAAAAAATACGAGAAGAGTAGATCGGTTGAAAATTTAAATATTAATGCACAAGCCTTAAACTGTTCATCATTTAATTTTTAATCAAGTTATTTTTATAAATGCAATAAATATTCACCGTTAAGAAAGAAACAGACTATACAGAAATCAGTTCCAAAAAAGAAATTCGTATATCACACACGAGTTTATCATTTATAATAAAGAATATCATTATATTAGAGTGAATGTCTTATAATTAATTTGTATGATAATATACATTAGCATTTTTGCTTACAAATTAGGGCATTACTGGCTACATCATTCCGCCTTCTTTTGAACGATCACGACTGCTGAGGGTACTAGGCCTGCAAGTAAAAGAAGTGCCATATCTTCAGGAAAAGTTTTTATATACTAAATATGTTAAATATAATCACAATAACAATGAATTATTACATTACAGCTGATAAAATTGTATAATTAATTAATAGAGTTGCACTCCTTCACATCAATAAGCAATAATAGGAATTATTATAAGTTATATGGAAATGTAGACATGTAACAATAAATTATCAATACAGCATACCTAATACATCCAATGGCGTATCGTAATCCTCATCCGTAAACACTTTTTTGGGAAAGGTGGTCATCAGTTGGAAGGGACCATTGTCGTCTGTCCTATTCATTTCAATAAACAGTCTCACTGCAGACAATTGTTCCTTGCTTCCAAAGCTTTGGGTCAAGGTTTGTCCATTGGTCAGCCTAAGCTAAAATGTAATTGTTTGAAGAATACATGGTCTACATATTTTTTTACTTATTTCATACGCATTTTATATTATATACCTGAAGCCTGGTTTCGGTGTAATCCTTCCTATGATGCGTAGACGTAGATGAAGGTGTTGCGGATAATGAGACTGAACTTGTATTAACCGTTTGATTGCTTTCAGCAGCTGCTTTAGCTCGTCTTGCTGCTTTATCGGCTTCGATTTGTGCTCGAACTCTTTGCCTTGCCTCTTTTTCCTCCGCCTTCTCTCGTTTTCTTTGCTCCAGAAGCTTCTGCATCTCTAATTCTTCCAACCTATTACACATATATAAATAAAATATAGATTTGCTCTTTCTATTTCAATTTCGTTACTTTATCCCTTACTTTTTCCTGGCCTCGGACATTTCCTTTCCCGATCGTATCCTATTCTTTTCTCTTTCAAATGCATTTTTCTTTTCCTGCTCCTCTCTCTCCTTTCTCTTCTGCCTCAACTTTTCCTCCAACATCTTTAACTGTTCTCGCTTCTCTTCTTCAGTTAATGGCTTTTTCTCCTCTGTGCTTTCAGAAAATCTATCGTGTCCAGACTTTGTGGCATGAAATTCAACTTCTAAGTTAGATTTGAAGAGTTTTCCACATCTACAAAAACAATTTAAAAAGGACATGTATATTTATTGGAAGTTTCGTTGAGATAGAACTATCCTTCTAGATCCAATTAACAAGAAGAAAACTTTTAACAACTGCAAAGTAAACATTTCTTTTGTACGCGGTAGTGATACTGATATTCCATACAAAAGCGTAACGCGACAATCTCGATGCTTAAAGGGGCATTTACTCCAACATTTAGATCGTGCTCCAATACACTGCCAATACTAATAATCTATAGTTCAGGTATATTTCTAAATTCTTTGGTACAGAATTTCACTAGAAAAATAAAAATTAAACTAATTTCAAAAAAGAGCAGCTCAGTTTTTAATCTTTAAGAGTGAGATTTGTTTTAAAAGTTTTAGAGAATAGGTTTTCAGTAGTTTTGACAATGTTTAACCAAACACAGAGCCTTATAGCGGTTTTCTATTGGAAAAATTAGTGCAACTGAATGCAAATCAATATATCTATTTTCAATGTTAATAAATAATTTAATCCTTTCAAAATTATGAGATTATCATGATAACAGAGAATATGTAATTAAAAGAATTAAATCATTTATTAACACTGAAAATATCAATTATTTTGTATCGTACTTAAGTGTACACCAGTATTGCACTAGTTTTCTCAGTGGAAAACTCTATAGAGCCTTATCCTTGCAATTCATCAACATACACGTCGCACTTCATAGACTTCGCCGATTCAGTCGTGGAAACCGGTTGACTGCTAGCACCTGCGACGTTGTCCTGCGAGTCGGTAGACAGCGTCGGAGCACTCTCGCCTACGGCTGGTCCTGGTTCAGCCTCATCCGAATGGGCCAACAGCCTACAATAACAAATCGATAGCGTCACAACGCGACGATCAAATTATAATAACAACGTCTTCGTACCATTCCATAGCCGGCTCCACGCCTTTGTTACCGGTTATCTCCAACGCCTTCTCGCTGTAACAAAACCGTCGAATCGTCAACATAGGTTATGCTTCGACGATGCGACGTTTATCTACGAACTTACGCCTTGGACATGCTGAAACCCATGTCCACGAGGATGTCTATCACGCCCGACGACATTTCGCGCTGCTCGCTGCCGCGTTCGGCGAATGTACCACCTTGAAAAAGTCGTTCTGGCCGAACACAGTCGTCCAAAAGTTAAATGTCACGTCGAATCGACGCGCTACTTGCACTCCAACTACTCAAAGTGATTCCAAATTCCAACGCAGGCTCGAATCACTTGCGAGATGGCGTTCACGAGCGTCAATTTTAAATTAGAGAACTGTTTAATAACATTCCGCAAAAAATACAAATACAAAATAATATTAATAATTTTCCGTGAATAACGGTAGATAATAAAATTGCAATGAAAGAGATTCGGTCTTCTCATTTACAACTGTTATTATAAATGTATAAAAGGTATCTGACAACGGAATGTGTAATGTTAAAAGTTCTAGGTCTTTCTATAACGAAGTTTTATTTTCATATATTTAAATGAGGATTACACGCATCTGCGAATTGAACTTCACATAGGGACGCAATGCTATTTATTTTTGCATCAATATCGTTTACATTTAACAAAAACATTCAAGCATTAATACAATCTTTCAATCAAATTTTCATTAATAGGATATACAGTAGAATCAGAATAAAATTAATGAGGCTAAAGCCTAAAATTAGAATAAAAAGAATAAAAGAGAAATGTGTTTGTATTTGCGTGCAGGAAATATGTATAACTATAACAGTAGCATTTAAAAATAAGATAAAATTGTATTATAAATAAAACATGCATAATTCATTAATAGTTACGTAATCTTCAAATTAAAACAGAAATTTAGGATTATAGTTCACTAGTTTCTAACTGAGACATAATTATCAAGTACACCTCAAGATAGCAATTATTAATTAAATAAAATACTTTCAACGGTATCCGTTGATAACGGACAGGATTTAGCAGAGTACATAAAAATCAAAACGGTAATATCTAACTCCATATAAACGCAATAAAAATTCGCTTGCAAGTGGACATAAATTAAAATAAAAGACAGAGAAAAAAGAACGTTCACAGATCTAAATTCGTGAAAATTGATGGAATAACAAGGAAATCAATATGATAATGTAATGGCTGAGCATTCAGCAGAGAGAGTAGCTTTGCAACTATAAAATTCTTTGATACGATTAGTTTATACATTTAGTTCCAGTGAGGAACTAAAGGCAAGACCAAATCATATCAAAGCATTTAACAACAGTAGCAAAGCTGCTTTCTCTGCTGAATGCAACCGATGTTTGTTATCAATCTCCACAATTTTTTATTCTCAACCATGTAAAACCAGCCCTGTTGCACAGATTCGTAAGGACATTCGTTCCTTTTCCTCCGGTTTTGCGAAATAAAGGCATGTTTCTAGAATTACGGTTAAAGTTATAAACGTGTAATAATCTAGTATTCCTGCGACGCCTTATCGCCCTTTCCAGAGCCACCGGTTCCGGTCTTCTTCGGTAGCAGAACCGCTTGGATATTAGGCAGGACTCCACCTTGAGCAATGGTCACTCCGGACAACAATTTGTTCAATTCTTCGTCATTACGAATGGCCAATTGCAAGTGGCGTGGGATTATCCTGTAAAAAATAAGCATTTATACAATTTGAATGAAATACACGTTAAATAAATCAATTAATTAAAAAAAACCCAGCAACCATTACAGAAGGTTGTCACAAATTCCTCTCATCTTAAAATTCCATAACTTTTCCAGACAAAATTTTGGATTTTCCCTGACTTTCAATAATATTTAAAATTTTTTTGTATCTTCGCTGATTTGGAAACCATTAAATATTTTATTGAAAGAGCAATTTAACATAACAATGTAAATTGTAGGTGTGATATACCAATATTAAACTTTTTTACCAGGTAAGAATTTTAATTTTCCAGAAAATTCTGCGAAATTTCCAAAGTTTTTACTGACTTCCTTGACCATTTCCAATTTCTCTAACATTTCTCAGACTCTTGACTTCTAGTTTTATGGCAACCTTATATTAGAATAATCTAGAATTGTTCTGTTTTTATGAGAAGGAAACAAACCATTACATTTAGTCTACTACAATCAAAATAACAGCCATATAATTTTATAATCTCCATATAAACACAATAAAAGTTCTTTTTACTCTTTGCTTTCTGCTTACATTTTGCCTCTTCCTTTCTTTTACGATCACTTTATCGACAATCGTGTTTCTTGCCTAGAGTTGCCATATCAAAATTTTCAAAACTAAAATAACTTACACACTAAAAACCCTGAATATTTCGCTTGAAACTCTGGACGCATATAAGAATATGTGTAGATTAGTAAAATTGATCAGAGAGAATTAAACAAATAATTATTTTACATTTAATTATTCTTTAGTGGTACTAATTTAATGTAAGAAATTGATCAATCATATATTATTCTCCTCACATTCAACTGTGATTAGTCAGTTTCTTATAGCTTAAGGATTACTATACCTATTAAATCAGGACTAATATAAAATAACGAGGAAGAGAAGTCAAAGTAAAAAATTTAGAAGGTTCCTAAACTCATAATTATCCTTAAAAAAAAAGGGATAATATCCAGGGAAAAGAGGAAGAATGAATGGCGACCCTATTCTTGCCACGTGTTTCTTGTCTCTTCCCAAGTTTGTTAATTTTTTATTTCAGGCGACAGAAAACAAAGACGGATAAAAGACAAAGACAAAAAGTGATTAAAAACAAGAAACAGGAAACAAAAGAACATATTGTGGATTAGGCTTTTATGTTATTTACTCAAATAAGCTAAGCAATCTATGTTGGCTAAGGTTAAAACCCAAAACATGCCAACATCCAACAGTTACAGTTTGTAAAAATTCAAAAAGCGAATCTAGAATAGTAAACAAAATTTCTCCGAGATAAATGAACAAGATAAAATCTCGCGCTTAAACAGCATTAATATATTTCTATGCAAGAAAACAACGCCAAGAAAGATAGAGAATTAATGTCCTCAAAACCAAGTCGGTTAACGGCGAAGATCTATATTCCCTCCGTACTACGCCTAGAGCCGAGGGTGCGAAGGAAACCGAGCGAGACGCAGACACGAGATAGAAACAGGAAGTCGCAACGAGAGAGATGGAACGAGAGAAAGCGCGCGCGCGCGCGTGAGAGAGAGAGAAAGAGAATTGAGGAAGGGCTTGCCTAGTCTTTTTGTTGTCCCTGGCAGCATTTCCAGCCAACTCGAGCACTTCGGCCGCCAGATATTCCATCACGGCGGCAAGATAAACAGGAGCACCGGCACCAACGCGCTCCGCGTAGTTGCCTTTCCTGAGAAGACGATGAATTCTTCCCACAGGGAACTGGAGCCCGGCCCTGCTGCTGCGGGTCTTCGCCTTCCCCTTGGTCTTACCTGGAAAAAAGACACGCACGAGGAGTGTCGTCGTCATTCGTCGTCGTTGTCGTTGTCGCCCGGCGCGCCGCGAGATTTCCCTTTTCCCAGCTTCTTTTCTCTCTCGTCTCTTTTCTTTTCGTCCTTACTCACCACCTTTGCCGCGTCCAGACATGTCTCGCTGTTAAATCAAGTGCGTTTGCTTATTCCTTGCACGAAGAAGGACCGCCGGGGAGGAAGTGCGACTGCGAGATAGATAGGGAGATGCGCTCACGGAATCGTGCCGACACGCCAACACCGAACGCTGAAAGCCGAATGAAGTGGAATGAAGTCCAATGAAGCCGCGGCCCGCGCAACTACGATGGTAGTGCGCATGCACGTCGGATATTTTGGCGCCGATCGCTCGTTTGCGCGGGAACCCGGGAACAGCCGACGATCGCGGGATACTTCCCGCGCTCGAAAGTCCCTGCGATAAATTCCTCTTTTTCGAATCACTAGACAGGATTCGGCGCGAATTTAAACAAATGTTCACGTAAGCATTTCGAGTCCTTTTGCGCTCGAACATACGCCTTGGCGAAGCGTACAATTTTGCTGCAAACGATTTACTCTGTAAATTGAACTAATCCAAGTTTGGTCAAAGTTTTTTAACAGAAATTTTTATTTAAATTAAATTTTATTTATAACATTTTTTATCTCTGTCATTTTTTTCTTGGTTACACGAGAGCTTTTTTTTTATTTAGGTTTTTATTATCTTTATTATCCATTTCTACCAATGTAGATTAATTTTTTAATCTCAATTCAATTTATAATAAATTTGATTGAACTTATAGTGCATTGGTGCATATTAAATTGCATGTGCATTTAATCTGAGTGTAAACGTGAACTGTAAATATTTCATATTTTACTTAACAATACAATTAAAATGTATGGAGAAAACTTCACGGTTTAATCTGTGTTTCTATATTTACAAACACACATTTTTACATCAATAGGTTTGTTCGCGTTGCGCTTAAAATTCTCAAAAATTTTTGCACTTAAAACGAAATAAATATATATTCGGACGTTGAAAAGAAAGAAAGCGACGATATTGAGTACAAAAAGCGCGAGCAACGTGAACGGATCTAATTTAAGTACGACGCAGCTTAATATGCATCAATGTGCATAGAATGTATCAAATCGAATTCGCTATTACTCTTCGATTGATTATAATCGACAAACTGCATCTTTACAATCGATATATCGAATTAAAAAAATATACATCTATAATTATATAAAAATATATGTCTATAATTGTTTACAACTGCGTTCAACGTCGAGTTCTTTATTATATATAACCCAGCAACAAAAAGTGTCTAAAATCGGATCACAAGACGTTTTTTGCGTCTAAAGGACGACTTAAAGATGTTTTATGTCACAATTTTAGACTTTGTGTTGTTTAGGAAGCTAAAATAAGACTTGTGCAAGACTAACAATTATCTTTGTCTAAGTCTTCGAACTAGAAAATGATGAAGAGTAAGTTGAATTAAGATTAAAGTTAATCTACGTTAGAAACGGATATAAAACAAGAAAGGAGATAAAATTCTAGAGCACAGACAATGTTTGATTCTCCGATGGTGTTAGAATAAAGGAGATCAAATATGCAACATCTTCAGAGGTATATAAATGTCAATTATTGCGAAACCTTTTTGTCCTCGATTGGTTATAATCGACGGACCGCACATTTACAATTGAGTCGATACATCGAATTAAAAAAATATACAGATGTCTATAATTGTTTACAATTGTCTACAGCGCGTAGCGTCGAGTCCCTTAAGGCTAAACTAAGACTTATGCAAGACTAGCGATCATTTTGTTGTTAAAAATCTACAATAGTTCCAGTTTAAATTTATCTGTCCGATTGTTTCATCAGAGTTGTCACAAATTCCTCGTCCTAAAATTTCATAACTTTTCCTTGATTTCCGGACAAAATTTCACCTTCCCTGACTTTCAATAATATTTTCAAATTTTTTGTATTTTCATTCTGATTTGGAAACTGTTAAATTAATTTGTTGAGAAAGCAATTTAACATAGCAATGTAAATTGTAATACTATTAATATTACTGACACTGCTTGCATTTAATTATTAAATTAGTAGTATTCTAAAACAGCATAAGTGTGATATATATACATACGCACATCAAACTTCCCTAAAACCAAGAATTTTTATTTTTAATAAAATTCCCTGACTTTTCTCTGATTTCCCTGCACGTTTTCGATTTCCCTGATATTTCTCTGATTTCCAATTTTGTGACAACTCTGTTTACCCTACTTTTTTTACAAAAATCTCGTTTGGGACAGCTACTTTCGAGGGAATCTGTCCTTAATTGTCCTCACGAAGTTAGAAACGATATTGACACTAGTAATACAAATTCACTGTCGTTGAATTAATAATATTTGAACTGTACGACACAGAGGTACTACTTTTAGAATATGACTTTTACAATGTTATCTAAAGGCTTATTTCGATTAAAATTGACCGTGCTGATCAGCATACTGGCTTCGTTTTACATCTTTATAAAGAAAAAGTCAGTATGGCGATTGGCACGATTGGTTTAATAGTTTTATCTTATGCGTTCAGACAATTTCCTGTTCTAAATTGCTACCATAAATACTATCTTGCAAATTTCGGGACTTGTAAAACTTATTTGCATTGTCGTTATGCTTACGCTAGTGACTTAACAACAACCGTTAACATATTTTGTTTTCTTTTATCGAAAGTTAGAATCTCCAATCCCATGGCACACAAAGAACACCATCGCTCATAACAGAATAATAATGAGTAACCCAGAGCATGACGCCCTCAAGCGATGGTGCCAGATCCTTTTTGTGTAGAAGCAGCCGTTCGCAGCATTGTATCATAAGGTCCGGTGTAATGCTATCGTCCTTGTTAAGAGCAGCTAAACCTAATTCTTTGATAGTCTCATGATGAAGTTCCCGTTCCACGTGCTTTATGCTGCAAATGTGTACAAGTAGTAAATAATAATATTTATATTAATCTCAGTTCATTTAAAAATCTGAGATGTCTTACTTGTTATAATGATATAGTCTCTTCGTAGCCTCCTCTAAGTTTTCCGTAATAAAATTCACCAAAAGAAAACTTGGACAAGACGACGGCACAATGAATTGTCCAGTCGGTGATAACATCAAAGGACCTGCTTCGCTACAAGATCATAAATCGTGTTGAGCCACTTGCACAAAATTTAAAATCATTCATAAACAACGATATTTAAATAGCAGTACTAACGCTTCGATGACAATTTCATAGGCTGACAGACTGGCCGGCCACGAACTCGGATATTTTTTTTTGCCACGATAATCTGAGAGCGTGGTTGTGAGTTGTCGCAGCTGTTGCTCATACTGGCCGACCATTACCTTAGGCATGAATTTCCTGCACATATAGAGCACCCTGAGCCTTACCATAACTCAAATAATATGATGTATTACGCACCGTCGACCAACTTTAATATCGAGGAGTACTTGGGAGACTGCCTTCTCAAACGCTGGCAATTTCAACAATACAGCATCATGCTTTTTTACATTCTTTATTAGCTATAAACAACAAAAAAGTTTAATACTTATATAGAAATATGAATATAGATCAGGTAATCAGCTTATTTTCAACTTACGTCGAGCCAATTGTGCCTGACTTCCCCAGAATTTAGCATAACATTGCCTTCTAAACTGATACCAGTATCATTTGCAAACACGAGAGTGCGATTTCTCAATACTTCCATCGATTCCGGATGATGCTCGGCTAACGCTTGAAAGGCTAATAAACAGCCGCGATAATGAGCGATATTCCAACCACAGTCCCATATGATATCCTTTAGACCCAACACGCTGCATAGTACTTTCTCCAATTTCTCCACCTCCTCTCTCACTGGTCTACATGCTTCCAGTTTAACATGTACTTCATTGATGTGCTTATCTAGATACGCTCTAATCGAAAACACACGAGTACAAATATAATGGCGATATTTAGTATTTAATGCTTATCTCAATGTTATATTTACTTCAATGTATCTGGCTCTGCATTAATCTTGCGTTTCATAATAATCGACGCATAAATAGGATCCTCTTCCAATTCTGAAAAGTCTATCCTTTCTCCAGAATATGCGCGTTGCCAAAATCTGGATTTGTGCTTTGTGACAGAAGGCTTCGGCTCCTCTATTTTATCGACAAACGTCGTGGGTAGATCGCATGTTTTTAAAATGGAAAGTATCGCTTGCCTCAAATCCTTTTCTTTCAACTGTATTTTAACAAGCGTGAATTTACCAGCCTTCACGTCTTTCTCATCCTTCGATCGCAGATAAAAAGGCAAAATGGTTGGCCGTATAGGTTGTTTTTGTTGTAAGGTTTCTAAGATTGAGCTTAATTGCTTCAGAGAATTTTCATTCACTGTCTGTAAACAGTAAATTATAATATAGATAATAATAACAGACATAATATAGATACCTAATAGACGATTTGCACTAATTAAAGATGATTATAGATAGCATCTTGCTCATAAAAGAATGTATATATGTAAAAAATATAACTGAAGAATGTTTACAAAAAATATAATTAACATTAATACGTTTTTTTAATAAAGGCAGAGATAAGAAAATGATAATGATAATATGCAAGATATATCTATATATTATAAAATGTTTAGCCAAGTGTCCTTTCATGAATCATATTAATGAGAAAAAGTGATATAAATAACATATTTATCTGATATTATTTGAATATGATAACGGAATATAATTGATAATAAACACTAAAAAATAACAAATAAATACTATATTGATTTTCAAGCGTGTGATTTCTTAAAAACAAAGTTAATGTTTCGCCAGGCCAATAAAAGTCAAATAATTGTCAAATTAAAATTAAATAGTTACATATATTAAAGGAAAAAAAACAAATATTTTACACTTTACAAAAAAAATTTTTTAAAGGTGTGGAACATTGTTTTAAATTAAGCGAGCGGCAGGAATTAAGTTCAACACCTAATATTTAATTTTAATTTTATAATTATTTGACTCTTATTGCCCTGTCGGAACATTAACTTTGTTTTTAATTATAAGAGTCTTTTACTTTATTATATTGACTCCTACGTCCAGATTCTAGTTTTGCTAGAAATGGATTTTGATCAAATCTCTTTTTATCTCCTTTGATAAACTGCAATTTCTATCAATAATTAGTTTAATCAATTATCTTGAAGAAATTATCAATTATCTTGATTTATCATATTATCGTAAACAGTGTATCTATTAAAATCCGTGCTTGTATTTGGTAGTTAAAAGATTGCAAATTGAGAAGAAAGCATTTATAAATATATCATACATTCACATATTTTTTTATTAGTTAAATATTGATAAAATTTTGCTAAACATTTCAAAAATATTTCGTGTAAAGAAAATAAAAAGCTAATCAAAAAAAGAATTATAATAACTCTAGTAAAGAATTGCCGCAATTTTTTTTCTATACAACTCTCCAAATTCCAACTTACATTCATTTAATATTTAACCCGTAAATGAGTCCCAGTGACTCTAGAAATAAGTAAAAAAAATAATTTTCTGAAAAAAATTTTAAATAACAATACATTTATTAATAAAATTCACAAGTAACAAATTTTATTAATAATTAATTAATAATAATTTTATTGGACCATTCATGTGAATACGCAACCAATAGGAAATAACAGTCCATAACGGTAAAAGCTGGATTTTTAGCTTAATAATGCTTAAATAATTCGATGTAAATTTATACGTATGTATATATTTTAAATTCTGTCAAACTATGCGCTGAATTGATTTTTTAGTCTTAAAATGCTATACCGATAGAGAACTGGTACTATTACAAATTAAACTGCCTACATTTTAGAAAAATCTTAATAACGCTGAAGACCTCGGTGATCTAAAGGCATAGGACGCTCGCACGGAACTGCAAGAGATCTGAGTTTGATCAAAAGTAATATTTTTCACAATAAATTGTTTACAGATTTTAATCAGCATTATTAAGATTTTTCTAAGATGCCTTAATAAGCGTCAAATTATTAAATTTATGATATTATATTTAATTTATGATAGTACTACAGTAATTCTATCAGTATAAACGTTTCAAGACCCAAAAAATCAATTCGGCGCGCAGTTTGGCAAAATTTGATACGTATAGTATGACTGCATAGTAGTACATTCAATGATTACTTTCAGCAGAACACAACAGTTTTACAACCGTTTTATAATTGTCTGCTGAGATAAGACCATTCTTCTCGATCTAAAAGTATAATTCAATCAGCGCGAAGAAAACTTTCAACAGTTGTGAAATAAACGTTCTGTTGAACGCAGCCAATAGTTAAATAAGCGCTCGCAGTTATTGATGTATTCTTCCAGATCTAAAAGTCTAATTGGATGATCTAAAAAAATACAATGAGATGAATGAAATAAATTCTCATCGAATAATTTAAGTACCAAAGATCCAGCTTCGATCGTTATGGCTCTATTTCCTATTGATTGTTTATTAATAATTTAATTTGTTTTTCAAATAGTCTTATACAATAGATTTTAAAAATATACATTGACAAACAACGTGAAAAATTCTCAAAAAAAAACTAACAAAAAACTTTAGTAGGTTCCAAAGACCTGTATGTTTCTTTAGCATCATAAAAAACGTGTTCCTTTACGAGTTAATAAAAAAAATATACACAACGCTGTTTTTATCAATTCTCGCGGTTAATGATCTGTTAAATTAAATTGTCATGCTTAAAAATGTTTATAAGCGAGTCTTAAGTCACAATCAACACATGTATTAATCAAACATACAAACGCAGGGCCGCTTTATCGATTAATTGTTCAATTTTTAGCATCGTTGACGCAAAACGAGATACGATTTCGATTTCATTGATTTAGAAAAACTGAAGTAATTGTTAAAATAGTCAGTATTTTATAGATATCAAATATACATTCAATAAATGCACAATAATTATAATTTTATTTCTAATTTTATTATTAATTTGTCAAATATACATATTTTGCAGAGAGGTACATTTATTTAAATACTCTCCAATTACAATAAACTTAAACAAACGATATGTTAATTTTGTTCTCAATTCAATCTGTTTTCCTATAAGCAAATGTCGCGATAATACGCGATAATACGCAAATCAGAAAATAGGTTTCTCGAAAAAAAAAAAAAAAAGAAACTTGCCGCCCGTTCCTTTCCTTGGCGATTGTTCTACGTCCTTTCTCGGACGAGCGGATCTGAAATGCTGAATGCTACACGTTTCTGTGGCTACAGCATGATCATTTTAATGCGGCCCTGCTCGTGACAAACAATAATCTCACTGATAAATGACGCAAACATCTGACTAAAGGTCTATCCACATTATTTGTAATTTTTCAACATTTTCGCTTTCTCTCTCCTCAACGTCCGAATATACAGGGCGTATATATTTATCTCTATTGAGGATTTTTATTATTTCAATTTGATTGTGTTATAAGTCTAAAAAATAATCAGCGCAACCATATACATGTTTAAAATATAAATTTATTTAAATACATTTATTTATAGACATATTTAAATAATTATCTTTAACCGTAAAGTAACACTTCTGTCATACTTAAGTCCGTTTCTACCAATGTAGATTAACTTTAATCTCTTCTAGTTCTAATTTTGTCGGGATTTCTACAATAAGCCATTACTTTAAATGAGTCAATTTTAAGCAGAATCGTAAAACTCGTAACATGTTCTCGTAAAACTTGTAAGAATTTATGACTAGTATTCTAATTTTATGCGTACGATTATTCGTAAATATCTACGATTTCTTATAAATTTTATGGCTAGTAAAAAGCTGCCTGTAAAAATATTGTAAAGGTATAGCATTTAAAAATTTTTACAAGTCTTACAGGAATATGTTACGATTCTGCTTAGAATTTAGGCATTAAATCTTAAGCCACAGGAAACTAACCAATCGTAGTCGAATGTGAGAAGAATAATTGATTAGTTAATTTCTTACGACAGAAATGGCTTATTGTAGAAAGTCCATTAGAACTAGAAAAAGACGAAGAATTAGTTGAACCGAAATCAAAATTAAACTGCATTGGTAGAAACGGATATTGGTTGATTCATTTGTATGGCACCTCCAGATGATATGGCCAACATATGTCGAAATTAGCAAATATACACATACATGACATGCACAATTATTCACATTGAATGTAGTCAATATTTAGCGAATGAATGCAAAGTTGGCCATATCGCTTGGAGGCGCCTGTATGGCAGTCTAGTCTCTAATTGTTCTTTTATTATTCTTTATATGTGTCTTCTTTTAAATGCAAGAATTTTGCGGACTTTCAAGTAACACGAGCAGACTTTGTGATGGCAGGAAATTTATTCTGATTCGAGCAAACTTGTATACGCACGTATACGCGCGTCCAAAGATCGCTGTATTATTCCTTTATGAACGAGGCAACAAGTTTTCGCACGTCTAAAAATAATACCGTTCACCAAGCATTAGCTTGGGCTCGGTATCACGCTACGATGACTACGCTACCGATTGCTTTGTGTGGCGCTTTGACAACGGCACGCGTGCATCTTACGTGTCCTTGATGAGAAACGAGTGGTCGGCGTGATACTCGCGATGGAAAGAAAACAAAATAAATAAAAATGTAACTCGCGGTGCGTAAACATACTCTAGCCTTTTCCTTTTATATTTCCTGTGGCTGTTATCTTTACTCCTTTCCTCTCTTTCTAAGGTTGTAAATACAGTTCAGGAACTTTCTAAATTCTTGTGAAATTGTATGATCCGTATCTCGGTTGTTCCTGTGATGTATTTTATTTTATACGAGTACATGATGCGAGTTAACATGATGCTACAGATGTTTTAAAGCATTTTTTAAGCGGTCAATTCGTAAAATTTATTCTTCCCCAAGCAAAACAATAAGTCATTACGATATCAAAATGATGTCTAAAATGATCATTGAAAGTCATTTTTCAATCATTTTCGATTTATTTTAATATCATTTTGACGTTTATCTCGATTTATTGTTCTACTTGATCAATCAAACCATTTGTATTCAAAGCATTTGTAGTGTGACTGACTGTACTCTACATTTTATATTTTCACTCTTCTGTCAACGCATAATTTTTCACATTTTCGCTACCATATTTCACAAGATTTCCTTACAACGTCAAAGTAAAAATAAAGTAAAACCATTCTTTACTATTTGAAAGGTGGAGTTTTTGAAAGTGCCATATAACGAAATTCGCACCAAAAATATATAAAAATGTATGCTGTTTAAAATTCAATGTATCTAAAATTTACTATTTAAAATAACTACTGCATTGACAGAAGGATTGAAAGGTTTAAATGCACATTCACAGGACCTGCAGACAGAAAAAAATATGGAAGATGTGAATGAAACAAATAGGATCACATATATCTGTGTCATTTTATGATAAAAAGTAAATACATAAATAAAGAGTCTACAAAGTTATTTGATGAAGCCGTGACTTATCTCGATCTCGTAACCACGGTTGCCAGGTCTCCAGATTTCGACTGGAGACTCCAATTTTCGGGATCAATCTCCAGTTCTCCAGCAAACGGGAAAAATCTCCAGTTTTTCGCTCGCGTGGAGTATTTATTAATTGCACATTTAAATTACGTGGAAAGTAATAAGAATGTCTGTGATTACGTTCAAAGTTTATGTTATTTTACGAATAATAAAAAAGTTTGTAATTGTGTTCGCACTGTATGTAATCTTGTAACAATAATAAAAAGGTCCCTGTGATTGTGTTGACACTTTACGTTGGTCAAATATTAATAACAAAAAGAAAGTCTGCAACAGAAGTCGCAAATTAATCCTGCGCCTTTTTTTCTCTTTTTTTTTCAATGAAACAATCGGCCGGCCTCCAGTCGAAATATGAAATCTCCAGCGCACGGACCTTCGGGCCCCAGCTGTACAGTGCTCGGGATCTGGCAACCGTGATCGTAACAAATAACATTTATTCCGAATAGTATTGAAACAGATCCTTACCCTCTGCGTAGGATACTGGCCGAACAGATCGGGATGGACAGTAAAGTAAAACGGCCTCAGTGCGGTGGATACCTCGCCGGTACTCAGGGCCCTCATCGCGTCCCTCCTGCAAAAGCTGTCAGAAAGAGCTGTCAGTTCCCGAGTGGGCTGCTGTCGTTTACCGCGTAGAAGTAAACGGCAGACTTCAACGAGTAAACTTGAACTTTTAGCTGCTTTTAGCTCTCCGTTACCATCTTCCGAGCGTCGTGCAGTACATTATTCACTCCCTCGCACCCTCCCTCGTCGTCGTCCTGGCAGTTGAATTATTATTGTCGGTATGCGCGCCTCTCATGTCACGCGGCCGATCACGCAGCGGACGTGAGGCCCGTCACGTCACGCATCCTCTCTCTCCCTTTCTGTTCACTTTCGCCTTGCAAGGGATGCGCCACTTCCCCTTTCCGCCCCGTTACTCCTGTCTCCAGGTCGTAGAATCGTCTTGCTCCAGCAATCTTTCCCACGGCGGCGAAACGTTCGACGTTATTTGACGTCAACGGCTGGTCGAACGGATCGGTACCACATCCAAGTAAACACCAGGACGCTCCACAGACACACCGCGACCTGCGACGTGCCCAACCACCCGACGTGCCATCGACGACAGTCGACGATGATAGTATATAAAAACAATGCGCGCTGCGCAACGCCCTCAATGGTGAGCTCCGGAGGCGACTCGAACGAATTACGTTCGTCTTGGATTGGGAAATCGTCGATAAGTTGTATCTGGAATAGTGGAGATATCAGAGATACTTGATATTTCTCTTTCAGGATTGTCCTTGATATCTCGAGACATTCCTTGATTACGAAATGAACTAATGTAACTTTAATATCGATAGTATCTTATCTTATATAGTCTCTCGAGAGTCTCGTTTCATATTCGCTGTGATTGGTAATTTTGATATCGTTCGAGTGTCGGGGCGGATTATCATAATTCATAATAATAATATAAGGGTTACGTACGTCAAATACATGTACCCAGACAGCACACAATATTTACAAAATATTTAGAAATATTTATAAGATTTATTTTAAATATTTTGTAAATATTTTTGTGGTTTTAGATTGCACAGATCATAAATATTTAT